GAGTTGATCCTACTTCCCAGGTAAGTGAAGTGGTCAACACACTCAACCACTTCACTCTCTATTGTTAACCGCGGTACCGCTGAAGACCAGTCCTGGAGCAAAAATTTGCATTTGGGTGGTGAAAATCGCATCCCAAACATTCTCAAATTCCCACTCAAAGTGTTCAGAAGACTCTGCATCTTGTCAGCGTCTTCACCTAACAGGACTATGTCATCTGCATATTCTAGATCTAAGGAAAATTCACCTGTGATCCGGTCAACGTCTTTGTAATTAGGTGACGAGAGGGAAACCTCCATAAGAATATCTATGATAAAATTAAATAAGAATGGGGATAGTGGGCATCCTTGACGGACACCACTTGATGAGTATAGCTCCCTGGACAACTCACCATAGGCTCTAACATGCCCACAAGTGTTCGAGTAGAGAGCTTTCAATAAGGTGATGTACTTACTAGGCACGCCTTTCAGTGACAGACACTGCCATAAGACTTCTCGATCAACGGAGTCAAATGCCGCCTTCAGGTCGAGAAATACAGCTATTGTCGGGCGTCTGTAAGCATGCCTATGTTCCAGGACCTGGCGCAGTGTGAATATTTGGTCGATACATCCACGGCCAGGTCTAAAGCCTGCCTGGTTTTCTCGGGCTTGCTGTTCCCGAGCTCCACTCAGGCGTCGGAGAATTATAGAACTTAGGATCTTAGACACTATGTTTGTCAGGCTGATTCCTCTGTGGTTATCACAAGAGGACTTCTCGCCTTTCTTGAAGACTGGGATGATCAGTGACTTAGACCAGTCGGAGGGGATCGTATTTGATTCCCATATACTGGCTAACACTTCCGTTAGCCTGACTAAGAGAACTCTACCACCATTCTTGTATACCTCAGCAGGTAGTCCGTCTGGTCCTGCTGCCCTTCCCCGTTTCAGGCTACCTACCGCTTTCTCAACTTCTTCTAGTGTTGGGGGACCTGTCTCTATGTCCCATTCAGGGTCCGACTGGATAGCGGGCAGCGCAATGGTGGCTGGAGGCCAGTTAAACTGTTCCTCAAAGTGTTCTGCCCATCGTCCCAGTCGCCTTCCCTGCGAGTGAATCGCCGATCCGTCCTTCTCCGCTATAACCTCACTAACTGTTGTTGACCATTTCCCCCCAGTCTCCTTAATAAGTCTAAATAACTGTCTACTGTTACCGATCGCCGCTGCCTTTTCCATCTCTTTAGCCTTTGCTGCCCACCACTGTTCACGATCGTTGCGCAGACTTTTCGTCAGTTATTTTTAAGTTGCGCTCGCTCTTCATTGTACTCAGAGCCTGCAGGGATGCATTCACGTGCATCCATTAGTTTGGAAGAAGCTGCTGATATCCACTGGCTCTTTTTAGCCATTATCTTGGAGTCGGCTACAGTCTCCAGTGCTGCTTTTACAGTAGACTGAAGATGGCACCAAGCTTCTTCTGGATGAGTGACAGTCTTTTGTTCCGATAACTGCCTAGCCAACTTCTCACTGAACACGGCTTTGGTGTTTTCGTTGTCCAGCAGAACTCGTAGTGGTTTTGTTGCCAAATTTTTTCTACGTCCATTGAGACGCAGGCATATACGTGCTCGGACCAACGCATGATCGCTGTCCAAACACGTACTCCAGAAGGAGCGGCAGTCTTCCACCGATCCTCTCCAGCGATGACTAATAGCAATGTGGTCTATCTGTGTCCATCGCTGAGTCGAGCTCGGTGGACGCCAGGTCAGACAGTGCCTTTCTTTATGTCTGAAATTTGTGCTGGCTAAAAATAGGCGGTTATCTGAGCATAGTTGTAATAGGCGATCACCGTTATCTGTACGTTCAGCTGGGATTCCGAAAGTGCCACCTAAGTGCCTTTCTGCCTCACTCAGTCTACCCACCTGTGCGTTGAGGTCACCTGCAACAACCACTACGTCCGAACGTTTGGCTTTCGAGAGGAGGTTAGACAGTTTATGGTAGAACTCGTCCTTCACTTCATCCGAACTACAGTCAGTGGGTGCGTAAGCAGAGATTACAAAGAGACAACGGCGAGTCTCACTATTCCTTTTAGTTCTCACTGTGCCGTTCAGCCTCATAGCGCAGAGGCGACTATCAACTGGGATCCAGTCTAGTAGTGAGTTTTCTGCCCTGGTGCTTAATGCTATACCTACACCTGCAAGACCACGAGAGCTAGCTATCGAATCTCCAGAAACTCGAAGGGTGAATTTTGCAGATTCACCAGATTGGTCAGGAGAGGTCAGGTGAATAACCACACTTGGGTCCTGTATGCGTGTCTCACAAACACAGCACACATCCATGCCCGAGTTGCTAGAGTCTTTGCCAACGAAGCCTGTTGGCCAATTTGACGGAGGGTGCGGACATTGAAGGCTCCAATATGTAATTTGGAGCGTGGTTTAAGGAGACCAGGGACTGTTCTGTGGACTCAGATCGTTGTCGAAGGCTGCAGAGGTAGGAGAAATTGAAGATGATGCAGCATCATTAATTAAGAGACGTGAAGGAAGATTAGAAGGTAATGATGGAGGAGGAGGATAGCAGTCAGAAGAAACTTGGGTGCTGACAGAGTTGTGAGGGCGGTTGACACTTCCCGGCTGCCCACACCGTGGAAGGCTATTTCTTCTTAAGGTACCTGAAAGAGATTTGTGTGACCGCAGAGCCCATCGGACATCTGCTTGAGGCCTGTCACACCCAGCCTTTTGAGTATGATTATTTTGAATTTTTGTATTTTTGGGGCCGGATGAGCGAAAGGAAACGACAAGTGAACCAACACCGCCGGCCCGGCAGACCGTGGGGCGTGGTGGAGTGTGTTATTTTTGGGGCCGACCTTTTCTAACCCCCCCTTCCACTGAGAAGGCAGCATCAGCTTGGCACTGCTGGTCATCCAAGGGAAACACCTTACTGCTGTCACACCCCATCCAGCTAGCAGCAGTACGACTTCGCCCTCAGACCCCCATCATAGTGTAGCAATTTACACTATAACGGTAACTGCTTTTCGTCTAACCACTACCCAACAGACCTTTCTGGTATGGTAGGACCTCGAGGGAACAAGCGTTCCACCAGCATAGCTCGTTGGGTCATTGTGATATGCAAGCCCGACCACCACGTCAAGGTAGCGCTACATAATTGCATTTTATAAGTACATAACCGATACGTAGCGACAAAAAGCAGCCAATAAGGGGGTTTTTAAGTCGTGATCAGACCATGTTCAGGTCATGATTTATGCATGCGCTGACATGAGGACCAGATTGGAAGAATTCGACCTCATGCAAGAAATCTGACTGTTCCATTTGTGGCTTCACTTTCTGAGAGTTTTGTAACTTCATATATGTCACGTATTTGTCTAATAAAAGTTGTTGTTGTCGCTGTTCTTCAGTCACAGGCCGTCTTTGTCCTCTGATTTTTCCGCGGCTCAGTGAAGCAGAAGGTACTGAGGGAGGTCAGTCGTAAATGTATTCGTTTGAGGTGTCTATTGAGTCCGAGTATTCATTATACCCACGCGTGCAACCCCACCACTCGGTCACAACAATAACCTGTTGAGAACTTATCGAAAAGAATATCCTTGGCTTACATTGTTTTTCTTAGTTTTATGAGAACTGTAGACCCTACTAAGATACTTAACCTCCACAGAGAGCTGGAAAACTGCTATCTATACGCTGACTCATAATTAGAATAGGAAGTGGCAAATGTAAAGAAACTTCATGTGTTCTCTAGCTCACCGTCTTTAGACTTACAGTTATTCAACATCTTGGAAAGAATACTTTACACAAAGCAATCTATATATGCATTGTTACAAGCGGAATTCTATACAATTACAATGTTTGTGACAAGGTAAAACACCGGTAAGCATGAATATCTAATGATACAAGTAGCTCACCTTTGATAGATTTCATTTATCATGCGGAAAAAATTACCTTGTACCATTTATACATTATATTTTCCGTTAACTTATGAGTTTAATGGGTTCAAACTGAATAAAGTTACATATATGCCATAGCATAGTGATAGTGGCTCCACTGCAAAATATGATCGATAGAATTCGATCAGCACCTAGAACTAGATAAGTTGAAGTTGGTTACCCTCCAGTGACGAAGCAATGTACACAATTCAGTGCTACAGGAGATCAATCGCAACCCGATTAGCTTAATGTTAACTTGTCCGACTACAGCTCTCTGGCTGATACAGGTTCGAATACCAGGTGGGCCGAGTTCTATCGAAGTTTCAAATACGTCTCTCCGATAAGCACAAAATCTAGTCCTAGGAATTCCTGCCGATCACCTCCAACCAACTAATAGTCTTCAGCAATTGATTCCCAATATCCCAAAGGCCCTACCTAGACAGCTTGTGTATGATAACTTATCAATCGGTTTCTTGGTTTAATTACTCTTAGCTTTACTCGCACTTCATCTTGCTTCCGTTTCCATTGCTTATCGAGGTAAATGGCAGTTAAGGATGTTTCAGCCTTTTCAAGTCCACAATCTTATCATCTTACTTGGCATTGTTACCTAGCATTCTACGGCTAACCATGATACTGATCATTGCGATTCCATGTGTTAGCAATACTACCGTTTGGATAAACTTAATAATCTGAATAATCATATGAATCCACAGTTGGATGGTAACCACCAGTTTGGTTGTCCAGGGAGCATTGGCCAGGAGCTATCTGTGAGGATGTATGTTGTTTGGTGTTCAATGTTCACAGTCGATTAACTGGAAGTTTTGTCTATTGACTCTCAAAAGTTGACGTTATCGAACCGAAAAACCGAGCTCCACTGAGCAACCTTGAGCATATTCGTGCAGTAGACAATGAACCACATTTATTTCATGTGAGGGATAGTGATAATACCTGGTTGACAGCTCAAACCTCGGTAGGTGGAACGGGGTTCCAGGCCATGATTTATTTCAGTTGGAAGTCATTTCCTTAGACTAATGACCTACGGTTTCACGATTTAACGTCAGAAAATCTGCAATCAATATATGATAAACAAAAACTCAACTTACAGAACTCCATTTCAATTTATTTTTCAATGAAGAGGATGATTCACTTCGACCTAAATACAAATCATCTTCGTATCGAAGTTCTTTACTATTTATTTCAGATTTTAGACTTTGATATGGTAAATATTTTGATAGCGTTGAATGTTTACCATCGCATTTGAACAAGTATTTAACTAAACGATCTTCTAAGGAATGAAAAGATAGAACAGCTAAATGTCCACCAGGCTTTAGCAAAGATTCAGACAACTGTAAACCAACGCATAACTCGTTTAATTCATCATTCACGAAAATACGTAACGCTTGAAATACACGTGTAGCCGGATGGATTGAACTAAGCAAGAAAAGAATAAAAAGCATGACGAAATGAACCAAAAATACATATACACCATGGTGAGGACACATTGATTGAAATCTGGAGAGGAAAAAGAAGCAATCCAACCACAGTTTCAACTCAGGAAATATAATCTGTACAGCTACAATTAATGAACAACAAACTGATACCCGTTGCACAAGTGACGGCATTTACTCATGCCCCATTGGCTTAGTGAATAACGCTTTGGCATTTGAAGCAGCGATGGGTGCTGGGTTCGAGTTTCATCAATGGGAATATCACTCATTGGGTTGCAGGTACATCCAGCTGACGAGTGATTCCCAAATAGGACGAAACACGCGTCCCGGATTCCACTACTAACCACTAAATATACTGTAAGGCTATAGTTTATGCTTCTGTTGACATTCTTGTCTTAGCTAATATATCGGTTTTTTGTTTTATTCGTCTGTGCTGTTGATAATGTTGTTATCTAGAGTGACAGTGTGAAAGCTTCACGACTGAACTGCCCCAGTTCAGAAAACACAACACCATTAAAACCAAACCTCACGAGCTACAAATATTCACCATCATCTCAAAATTTTAAGAGCTCATCAATTGCTTCCTTATTGTTCGGAAATGGGAGGACTTCTGCCAAGATACAAGCCTCTGCAAGATTGTACGCATAGCGATTATACAGCTTTGTGAATGAAATCATAGAAAAGATATGTTTTATGTTGACTTGCTTTTCCTAACAAGTGTCCGATGCAAATAGGTGAGCTCTTATTCCTTGCTGTAGAACCAGACATCTAACACTTAGTGTCAGATATTGCAGTGATATACTGGCTTGAGTGGCACAAAGGAGCAATGCACATACAATGAACCTATTGTGGCCGAATCGAACTGAAATTCAATCAGAGCAACCTCGTACACATTTGTTTCGTAGGCAATGGACTAAGCCTACTGTGTGACAGCTAATGAAGCTACCACCTGACTGTCTAAACCTTACCAGGTGGAGCTGGGTTCGAAACCGCAACCCATTGGTTAAAAATTAAGTGCCCAGACGAATGAGCCACGGTTCCACTTATGGTTGAATTTGTAGGCTATCGTGAAGACTACAAATGAAGAAAATTGACAAAATTATTTGCTAGTACAATAATAGCAGAAAATGATAATTAATATTTGTAATATACTTACCGACTTACAGCTCTATTTCCCACCGAAACAACAGATCGAATTAAATCGGCTAACTGTTTCGTTGAGCGAATAGCGCCAACATCATTTCTATAGTCAACTATAGCATTGGCGATACGGTTGGCATGACGCTCTTCACCATAAGTGCTGAATATCTTGGATAAATCTTCTGCCTTCAGTGTATTGACAACTTCAGCAGCAGTTGGTGAGTCTTTTCTGTAGAAAAATGAGAAATAAATATATAGAATAGGGGTAATATATTTCTACGGTCAAAATGGGTTGGAAAAATCAATTTCTGACATTTCGTGACCTTGGGGAAGTCGCTTCTTTAGAGAATAAAACCTGTACAAATTATCGTATGTTTAACTAGTAAAAGTTGAGGCAGGCAGACAAAGTTAATGTAGAACCTCGCCCATAACTGCATCGGTTCAAGTTGCAACACTTCATAGTAGTACACAGGTGGATAGAATAAAAGTGATACCAAAGTAGACAGAGTTATGTAAGGGAATAAACAATTTGAAGATAGAAGTTAATGCAAATATTCAAGCTTCAGAATATGTCAAGGAGTGAATACATCTGCGCCACTGTCGCCAATTATCAGCCATGTCACCAAGTTTTCAACCACTGATTGCTTTCCTCTCAGGAACCGCAACTAGGGAGTCTACATCTCCCCCACACAACATACCAACAGTCAAGGACTTCACGGACTGGTGTCACATCTTGATCTGAAAGTTGAGACAAATCATGTTGGTTTCAGAATGATATACTTATCACAGACACAAATTGGACAACCATCGAGAACCTGGGAGCAATGGTTCTCCAAATGACGTTAGTCCTTGATGGATACCACTTTGAAATCAATAAATCCCCACAAACCTCGGGAACAGAAATTCCGCTTTCTTTGTGTACGTATGTACTTTAGTCATGGTATACAGCATGTTATTTCGGATAAACTTTCCATTTTGGTTGGATAGTTAGACTGTTCTTTCTGTTGAGTGTATTAGGCGACAAAATGATGTGAAATACATCAGCTATACGTCTTTCCTTGTTGATTGAGTAACTTTGATATGATTTTAATGTCAATTTCATTGGAATGAAAGACGGCATGAACAGTTAATAGCAGATTTCATTTGGTAAATTATTTTTATTTTGTGCACTTGATCTATAAAGACTACAATCAATAACTTCCTTGATTGGTTCTATATCATACACTAAGTACTTTCATTGTAGTACAATCAATAGTGAGCATTGATGTGCAGTGAAATAATAGAGAATATTTGTAACTCAGGTGGATGGTTTTGGTTGTATTGTGTTCTTTGAGCTGGGTTGTTTAGTCGTGAAGCCTTCATCGTCTTGCTAGACGACATCATCAACACTAACTTCAGTATGAGAACACAATACATTGTTATGCAGTATACACCAGACAATGCAACAACTGATTGTGCCCAAGCCTGTAAAAATAGCGTATAATTTCTGTAATTCCTCTTGTATGAGGAATTAAATTATTGTTGGTGATGGTTGAAGGTGAAATGAAAAACTCGGTAGCGACCTACGAGTTACAGGTCCCGGTGCTCTACCAACTGAACTGCGAGACCCGACTGCTGACTAGATTTTCGTTTCATCTTCAATTACCACCCAGTAACAATAATACAAGCCTCGGATGGTCAAACTGCTGAAAAATGTATTGTTATTATATCGTATACTTATTAATTTCTCTTTTTATGTATAAAGGTGACTGATGAATACTTCACGTTGAGTGACGAAATCCCCAAGATACACCTAAAAACATATACTGCTCACCTCAAAAAGGCAATTGTACATTCATATTATCATCATTATTGAAATAGACAAAATAGGCCAAATGAGGAAAATGGACCATTGAACTTACTGTACACATTGGCTTTGGTTCATACGCATATCTAATGGAGCATTATGTTTAAAACCAAATCCACGTGATTCACTATCGAGTTGTGGAGAACTGACACCCAAATCCATAAGGATTAAGTCAACAGAGGAATGTGTTAAACCAAATTTGTTTAACAATTGGGGAAGATCACTGAATCGTCCAATTAGCGGAATCATTTTATGACTGAAAAACCAAAGATGTTGGCTAAATATATATATGGTTGAATAACCCCAATAATGAAAACCTTGAGTTGAACTCAGCGGCTTTGTGCACATTCGTGAAGGACGCAGTGAGCCACACCTATTGGGTGAGGGTTAATGGTACTACTACCTGGTTGCCCAAACCTTGGGAGGTGGAGTGGGGCTCGAAGCTGTAACCCTTTGGTTGAAAACCATCTCCCTGAACCAATGAGCCACAGCTTCTGATGAAAACTTCTTCACAAAACAGAATACCTGGAATCATAAGGACAATCATTACTGGTGAGATGAAAAAATCCAATCTATAAAGAGAATGATTTCCCACTAGTCGTATTGAAAATTTAAACTCGATAGTATGTGGAATCTAATTCATTGATGAGTTCGAAAATGAAGAAGGCAAACTACCTGTGTTGAATTGCGAAATCAAGACAAGCTGGCAAATTAGATATCAGTGTTTACAGGAAGTTATCAGAATCTAATAGATATTTGGATTTCACATCGCTTCTTCCTATATCAATCAGAGTAGGCTCGGTAAAAATGTCTAAGTAATCGGGGTAGGAGTCTAACTAGGAAGGCAAAAAACCCAAATATGGAACTCAAAGACATTGAAGAAACATGATTACTTCTACAGTTTATGAAAAAGTCTATAAGAAATAACAAGAGAGAAAGCAATAATATTAGTGGTAATTTTAACTCGGAATTCATGTCTTCTGTAGTGTTGGCCATGCAGAGAAGATAAGTCGAAAATTTAACGTAGAATTCTTAACAATGCCGGGGCTCAGGGTGGTATTTAAATCGAAAAACTTTCTAAGACATTAACTTTGCAGGTTAAAGAATCCAGTGAATCCAGTAAGGCCAAATGACGTAGTAAATCAAATACCATGTTTATGAGGTGAAGCATATAGGTGAAAGTATCCGATCAGACTCAGTCTAGATACAGGAGAACAAACATTTATCAAAATATAGAGAAGCAGACCCTACTAAGATAAGCAATTCAGAGAAAAACGCAGCTACTGCTCTGCATGTAATGACTAATAATCATACTATAGTGTGGGACAGGGTGACAGTTATAATGTCCCATATAGCTAGTTGCAAAGTATTTTTTTCATTGAATTAACACCTAACACGCGACATGGAAATGACTTATGACACACTGTAGATATCTTAGTGGATTGGAGGTAATCGGCAGGAAACCCTGGACTTAGGTTTTGTGCTTGTTGGCACTCGTCAGCAAGGCGTATCTGCAATGGTGAGCCTCCTAGTTTGGTGACTATATTGCACTCAGGACTAGACATTATGAGAATGGCTGCTCTTTAGTGACCAATCAATGTACACTGCCAAAATTTTCAAAATTCTAGTAACCCTGAAAATGAAAGAATCGACAGCTTTTGAAATATAAAACTGAAGTTTAACAGTTTTGTGTCGTGAATTGGCTGAAATTGAAGACTCCAATTGAGTAGTTTGAGGGGAATTCATGTATCAAGGCACACTGTCATAGTAAATAGTGATCTAAACACAGGACGAGTATTTTGCTCATTTGAGGCTGAGCTGTTCAGCATGATACGTACAATTTGTAAATAATTTTTAAATTGACCATCCTATTTTAGGCATATCGGTCCATGCAAGTCAGCTAAAGAGATTCAGGTTATCTGAATAATTAGGCTCTATAAGCCAAGTTTGTCCCGGTACACCACTGAAGACCTCAGACTTAAACGAGCGAAAAAGGTTGTCCGGTGTTTAGATCGCTCTGATCTGGCTGAGGAGATCCACGGACCAAAATGAGTAGTTTCTAACCACTCAAGTTGTTCGGTAGTATATTTCTTAATCATTGCTAGATTTGGTGTTTTGGGTAAAAGTCATAACTCGAGTAGGAGCAGGCAGTCAGAGATCTCATCTCCTGAGTAAATATCTCTCGGCTACGCTATATTGTGCCCATTCACCGCATCGAGCAACGACCGTTTCATCGGTACGCCGGTTCAAATAAAATACTGCTTTATAAGAGATCGAAAGAGCATGAATTCAATTCAGGAAGCTGACGATAGCGCATACTTATAAGTAGTCATTGGCAGGGAAGGAACGTTTTCTTACTGCTCCCTAGTCTCAATGAATCTTTAACAAAAAATACTTCATAGTATATGTCCACATTCAAAATAGAAGATACTTCAATTTGAAACAATGACATAGACCAAACTCCATGACCAAGAAATGTCTATATCAAACCCTCAAATCTGTTTCATTGAAGAAATAAACAGAATTTGGATTGCTGCAGTGATTTCTACTTGCTTATTTCGCTTTACTTGAAAGGTAACTTTGGAAATAATTCGATCAAGAGTCCAAAATAACACCTTTCTGACATACTTTGTTCACTGATGATAACCGGTGGATAGAGTAAACTGTCAATGTCGAGAAACGTGATCACAAAGTTAAACAGTAGTAATAGGCCGTTCCTTTGAATGCAGTTGTTAAATCGTCTACAGCAACACTTATGTATATTCACCATTTGTCAGTTAAGAATTATGGACGTCTTTTTGAAAGAGATAGATAAAATTAACGTAAAACCTCGCATACAAGTATATCGGTCCAACTTGCAACACTTCCCAGCAGTGCACAGGTGGATAGAATAAGAGTGATATCAAAGTAGATAAAGTAGTGTGAGAGAATAAACAATCTGAAGATAAAGGTTAGTACGAATATTCAAGATTTATAAGACATCAAGGAGTGAATACATCTGCACCCTTTGTCACCAGTCATCGGCCATGTCACCAAGAGTCCTCAACTACTGATTACCTTCGTCTTGAGGACCGCAACCAGGGAGTTTACATCTAACCACATGGCTCAAACCAACAGTCAGAGGCTTCATCCACCGGTGCCACGACTTAGTCTGATAACCCCAAATCCTCTTTCAATTGAATCCAGCTTCCCCTAAGATGGGAAGCTGAGGCAGACGGTGGATTATTGCGAGCAATACATATTTACCATCATCATCAAAATCAACATAGTGACAGGTATTACTGGGTAACATTCCGAGTTGCCACACCTCATATCGCTACATCAAGTAAAAAGGCAGTTAAGTGGGAGATGAAGAATTGAAAATTCAGTCAAGGGTAGTAGAAAGTATTAAAAGAGAAGAAAGAGTGAGAAAATGATGAAATTAAGTATAGCGGTGAAGATGAGGATATTATGTGTATACGTCTGCACCACTGACATCGGTTCGTAGCTACATCACTTAGAGTCTCCAACCACTGGTTTCTCTTCTCCCATAAACCCCAATCGGCTAGTCTCCATCGCCCCACATGGCTCAAACCAACAGCCAAACACTTCATATACTGGCAGCTCCCAGTCGTTTTCAAGCCTGAACTTACTTCGTCCAACATTGTTTGATGAGGCAGACGATGACTAGGCTTACGTAACGCATGTTCTAGCCATCTCAATCGATCAAGGTTCACAACTTTCAACCATTTGGATTATGAGATGAGTCTCACTGCAGCCAATCCAGTCCATATGACTAGGAAGCAACAGCAATAAACGCATATAGACAGTTCAGAATTGAGCATATCACTGTTCACCACTAGCGAGTTGTATTGTTACTGAAAAAACAAATATCGCAGACTTAGTTTACTTTATCTTAGCATATACGGGACATTATACAGTCAATTAACCTTAACTGCAATATTGACCAAGTAATTCACTGTATAGATGAATATATTGCACATAGACCAAACTTACTTCGACGAAGTATAGGCTGCTTGAAGTTGTTGCATATAACTTAAACTTGTTGGATCACGATCTAAGAAATAACAGATCAAATTGTTCGAAGCATATTTTAATATTTCATTTGCATGACCTCCGCTGCCAAACGTCATGTCCAAATATACCTAAATTAAAATGATGAATAGTTACCGAGTGTAAGATAAGCAATTCAATTGTTACTTATGCTTTAGGTCTCTTGGTGGCGGCAAGCAGTGGAACTAATATGCTCATATCCCAATAAAGGTCAATCAACTCGATCCAGAATAACACTGGGAAATTACAAGTATCAAAAAATAATAATAACTGATACCCATCGCACAAGAGGTGACTATCGTGCCCCAGTAGCCTAGTGGATAACGCTTTGGCATCTGAAGCAGCGATTGGTGTTGGGTTCGAGCTTCATCAGTGGGAACAAAACCATTCACTGTGGTCCAGGTACATCTAGCCGACGTATGAGTCCCAAACAGGACGAAGTGGGCGCACTGGATTCCGCTGCTAGTCACCACCAAGCAGTAATCACCCAATATATCAAGGCATATGTCAACAAAAGTCAATCGAATCAATCTAGAAGTACCAGAGGAAATTACAAGAATCAACAAATAATAATCGTTACTATTATCAATAACCCGAGCACAATAACAACTTATTGTGAAAGAATTTAACCTAGTAAGACAATATAAGAACTAAACAGTAGCAGTGGAGAACTCTTTACTTGTTACTTACTTTATTTTAAACAAGGTATTACGCAGTAATTTTTGTAAAAACAGGTAATTTGAAAAACTTAAAGGCATGGTATGTGTTACACTGCTCTTAAATGATATGGAAAATATCAAGTATTTTTACAGCAACCAATAAAATACATTCGCAATGGAAACTAATGTCTTGATTTATATCTTTCTTCATACTTTACTGACAACTTAACAGTCAGTCATCAAATGGATTCCGTGGAAACGAAAGCATACATTCACTGGATGAAAAATTCACTTAATAAATCAATCAGTGTTTTTTAAATGCTCTATTTAATCGGAAATTGGACTGAGGATTTTTGCCGGTGTTTTAAGGTTACCATAATACCCTAGGATAGTTCTAAGCAAAACAGGACATCTTAGTTAAACAAGGGAAATGTTAGGAAATATTACAATAGCAGAAAAGTAATAACCAGAGCCCAGCTCCAACTCAATTCCTCGATACCACTAGGATTAACAACGCTTCTCAGTAAAATAATGCATTTCGCGCAAATCTCTTTATGAATACATAGAATCAACATCAGTTTCCAAGCCAAGGAATACGGTTATAATTTGAATAAATTAGTCCCGTTTATGAATTTGGATAGTGTAATTCGAAGACGTAGATTATCTGAAAAATGTGGTAAATTTGCACTATGCATTCTGAACAATCCAATCACACATTTACCACTTGTCAAGACATTTTATATGAAAACTCGAAGTGTCATCTATTGAAGGCTTGACTGACTGGTCACCTCACTCTGTATAAGAGATACGTCGATGATCCAATTGTGATATGTGACAAGCATGAAAAGGCGATATGTTTGTTAGAAAGACTTTACACCATACAAAACAATGTACGCCTAACATGTGAGAAAAAGAGAAAGATAACTATGCTGTCCTCGGATATACTACTGAATTGTGGGAAAAACGGTTCAATAAAAAGGTCGATATACAGGAAACCTACTTGGGTAGGTCAGTATTCAGTATTCCTTAGCTGCTGTCCAACTCAATACAAGCGAGATTTGGTTATGTGCCTATTCGAAAAGATCCAGCGCATCCGTACAGCAGACTCAATTGATGATGACATCAAAATAAAAGGTGAAACATTGGTGGAAAATGAATATTCATTGAACTTCATATGCTGGTGCTAAAACCAGCCAGCGTTGAAACTCCCTCTATATTCTATTCCAGAGAACTGAGTTTATATCGCTCTACTGCACAGAAGGGAATATAACAGCGTCATTTAAAAACAAAGAGTAAGGTCTGCCATTGGCAAAACACACTATACAACCAGGCTTATTGTAGTTAAGATGACTGAACATATGTTGTAATATAGAACTCAACACTAAATAAGTGATTGCATCACATCTCACTGCATTTATCAATTTACATATGTGTGTGGACACATACACAGGGAGAAATAATTGAGATATGTACTTCAGGCTGGAGGAGCATGTACCGAAATGGCTACAAAAGCAGATGGACTCACAAACAACAATGAGTGCAGACAACCATCATCGGCCATTGCAAAACACATCGATAAAGGTCCCAGGATTGATATTAAAACAGCCTTTCTAATTTGGTATAGGAACTGTTAGGGGGCACATACTTAGGTTTTTTGGAGCGCTAGCCATACACAAATTTAAGTTCCCGTTGTGCTTCCGAAAAGTCCGTCCTTATGCTAAACCAACTCTGGTAATGCTTATCACATCCTATTACCGAGGTTGTCTTTAAATGTCATCATTCTCCCTTCATTATCTTTCTCACTATTAAATTCCTTCATGTGATATTTGTCCTTCTGCCACTTTTAGTTTTCATACAAAATGCCTTGATAAGTGGTAAGTGTGTGATCAGACTGGTCGAAATGTATAGCGCAAATACATCACACTTTTCAGATGAACAAAGTCTTATAATTACGTTAACCAAGTATATATGGTTATCGTTTAGCGTCAGGAATTACGCCTGTATTCTAGGATCTTCCATACACACACCTAGTAGCAGTCTGCCTGACTTCCTTAGGTTTATTGTTCTTGAACTCTGGAGTAAAGGTATAGGTCATGTAGTCTTACAAACTAAATTGTTCACTCTAATTCGCCTTTATCTATCACAACAGGATATCGATTTCTTTCCTGCATACATATAAACAACGATCATATTAGGTCAGTAGGGAATTATATCACGTTCCTCTAACCAAGTTTATTCGTCAATCAGTTTAAATTATCCTTAAGGGTAACCTTGCAACACAAGTTGACCTTCGCGTATTCTCGTGCATTCAGATAACCAGCATACTTTGGAAATCAATAAACTTTCAGAATAACTACAAGATTAAACTTTAAACGTTGCGAACTTACAGTCTATTGATCTATTCAAATCAACATAGTGACAGGTATTACTGGGTAACAGTCCGAGTTGCCACACCTCATATCGCTACATCAAGTAAAAAGGCAGTTAAGTGGGAGATGAAGAATTGAAAATTCAGTCAAGGGTAGTAGAAAGTATTAAAAGAGAAGAAAGAGTGAGAAAATGATGAAATTAAGTATAGCGGTGAAGATGAGGATATTATGTGTATACGTCTGCACCACTGACATCGGTTCGTAGCTACATCACTTAGAGTCTCCAACCACTGGTTTCTCTTCTCCATAAACCCCAATCGGCTAGTCTCCATCGCCCCACATGGCTCAAACCAACAGCCAAACACTTCATATACTGGCAGCTCCCAGTCGTTTTCAAGCCTGAACCTACTTCGTCCAACATTGTTTGATGAGGCAGACGATGACTAGGCCTACGTAACGCATGTTCTAGTCTTCCAGTCAATAAAGGTTCACAACATCGTCAACTAACTTACCTTTTTTCCCTTAAACTCTACACTTTACTTTTGTGTTACTCACTTGGTGACACCACGGAATACGGCCTGTACTACAGAGGCAACGGTGGTCAAACACCTGAAGCCAGCCTCTTCATGTCTCCCACCTTCAATGGCCATGTTTCACAGCCATACAGTAGAACAGAGCGGACTGCTGTGCAGTACACGCGTACACACGCGAATTTACAGTACATTATGGAAATAGTTGAATCACAAGAAATTTTGGAATATCACATTATCTTTTTTGTCTATTGAACAAGATTCAGGATTCATAGGAGACTACTAAAGAAGATGAAACAAGATCACTTACTTGTCCTGCTTTAGGTTGTGTATGCTCAATTATTTCTGATTTCATAACAGGGATATGAGGAGATGTAAATGATGCAGAATACTTGCATAACAATAAATTGGCGAACTGTTCACTTCTCGTTAAAATAGTTTGCAGACAATTCATTTTCTTCATCTAGTGAGTAAATAAATAAAAAGGATTACTAAAGAAACTGACCGCAACTGTAGCAGATAGTGGACTATGGAAGTAAAACTCGACGATATGAGGTTTCATTAACATTGAAAACAGGGAACTCGACATAAATTACTTCAGGTGTTTTCATGTCAGGGAAAGATTTAACCCAAGCACTTACCATTTACATTAGGACATACTTCTTGCTAATTTTTCAGCGCAAATGAACAGATTTGTCACTCCTAGTTCCAGTTTATCAAAAACACCAGTAAATCATGACTCCAACGAAACACTTTGATGAGTATCGATTGCAAGCGGTTATTATCTATAGGAACTTTCCGGTTTGTTCCGAGTAATACATATGTAAAGTGTGGTAAAGCAGAGAAGGGAAAAGCTAATTTTTGATTTTATGGCTGAGGCTAAATCGTTATTACATAATGGATTGGGATTCAAACTGAAATAAGTATAACTCAACAAAATGATAATAAACACCACTTTGGTAAACCAGATGAAATGAGTACCCGTCCGTTGAAACGTCAGAGTTATCCACTAGGCTACTGGATTACGATAATCATTCCCTTGCCCAATGGATATATTTTGATGTTACTTATTTCTCGTTGTTGATCAGTTCTGACAGAACTGTTCAATCGGCTTTTCACTGTTAGCTCTTATTTATTCTTACTACGAAGGTGATTTCATCGATTATATCTAAGTAACCGCCAAACTAAGCCAAGCACTATGGGTCACGATTGTTACTCAGCAACCTAATAAATAAAGCTACGGGTTTTGAAAGGACAGTTGGAAGTTCAAGTTCCATTGGGAACAAAACTATGTGCTGGGAGGCAAGTAACATCCATTTGGCGAATTCACCTATAGGACGAGAAGTATATCGCAAACTTCATTACTAGCCACTATTCATCCTTACTATAAGAATTGAGCTGATGTGAAAAGTTCTGATACAATTCTTTGAAGAAAACTAGAACGGAAATATCTGAATCACTGATTGAGAATATTTAATTCGCATCCTAGGCGGATGACGCAGTAGAAATTTCCACGAGTTAATCTTGACAACTTTATGATAGTTCTCAACGCCAGTACTATCAAATAAAAAAATGCAGACTGCAGTGCATAAATAGATTCATAAGGCTTCCTTGTAAACCATTTTAAAAACGTAACTGATAACTTAAACCAGAAACCAGCTACATTGATGTCCTGAATGTATTCAACACGATATCACCCACATGAACGAAAGATGACACAGATCGAGATATTTTCAAAAAAATTCACAACCTCTATGTTAACCACTAAAGTAAAAAACCTAACTTCATATCTGCTTTTGTGTTTTATTTACAGAGTGGAAGAATAAGATTAAGTTTATTTCCTGAAAAAAAATCGAAATGCACTTAGTAATCACTCACACTTTTTCACAGCAGACAATGAACCATACTTATTTGTGTGAGAGCTATTGATGCCAACTGGCTGTACAGACTTCGGTGGGGCTGAGTTCGGACCTGCGACCCCTTGATTATTAGTCGATTGTCTAAACCAGCAAGTCATAGTTCCACTATTTCTTTGTTGAACTTGCTGGTGAGCAAACTATACCCTTATTGTATACTTTTTTTGGAAACTACAAGCACCAAAAACCGTGTCTGGTATCCGTTAGTACGCCGAAGCGCATGGTGCTTTCATGAAACAAACACCGTTATATGTCCGTTTTCACTTTTTTAAAATATTGATAAGATAGTGCAACTCAGAAACCAGGTGCAGTCAATGAGGTGTATTTACTGTGTGGTGAATATGGTACAACTTGGTGCCTCAAGCCAAAATACATAGCGTCACGCTTGGACCCGACATCTGATACTAAATCCACTGCGTATATCAGTAAGCCACAGCGCCACTCCTTGGCAATGAACTGTGGAAATTCGTCTAGAAGTTTGTCTGTCTTCATAGTCACATGCTCGACCATTTATAGGTGGTAGTGTTGAGCAGACTGATACTATGTCTATCAGTGTGAAGTACACCTCAACAAGTTGAAAACTGACTATTAATTATCAACCTACTAATTCTTCTTACCCATTGAATTGAAAGATATGTTACTGTCCATCTCCACCACTAAGTACCCTAGTTATCGTTTGTCACAGTCCCAAGCGTTTAAGAAACAACCAGAATCTAGGTTAGTATGATAAAAGTAAACTACAATATACATTCACAGACAGTTTGCAAAGAACGAACTGAACTTAACTAGTCCAAAGTATCCTAGACTGGTTGACTGTGTGCACATGCACTGAAGAAAGTGAGATGCTCTCAACAACCTTGTGCACTTTCATGCAATAGACCACACATACTGGGAGGGCTAATGATAGTACCTGGATGTCTAAATCCTGGTAAGTGGAGCGGTGTTCAAACCGGTGACCATTAGTTGGAAGTCGATTGCCTTTATCAAAGAGCCACGGCTCCAAACACACAGTACATCAACTCAATTCCTAATCCACGCATATAACTTGTCCGGAAAAACGTTCAGGAAACAGTACTAATAATGAAGAATAACACAGTGAACACTAAAGTTCATTACCGTTGGAACTATATAAAACTTGGGATTTTTTCAAATTTCACCTCACCAAAAGCTTGCTGGTATGTGAACGTTACGGTAAAGCGTCCCAGGAAACCGATTGACCAACCAACATTCCACAGCTCAGAATAATTACATAAGAGTTGGCTACGCAAATAGTGACAGTTATAGCTAAAACTATGCGGTTACTCTCAATACCACTGGATGTGGTGGCTTGTTACAAGTGCATTGTATGTCATTTCCGGAGGTTCATGTAACTCATGACGAACCGCCTAACGCCCCATATTTGAAATATGATAGAAACACCAATAACGTAACTCTATTTGCGATAGTTAGTTAGTTACCAGTGACAACGAAAAAGGTGTTTTTGAATTCCAACCGAATAAGTATCAACTGACTGAATTCTCCTCACCTAAAACCTTACATTAGATGAGTGACTAAGTCGAAGCCTACAATTTCGTAGCAGGGCGTAAGTTTTCAGTTGAAGATCACTGAAACAATCCTATCCTAGTGGAACAGGAACTATATGACCTTATCTCCAAACTCAAGCAATGAAATTATCAGTCCCCCAGTAAGTAACGTATAACCAGTGGGTGGGTGGTGGGAATAGGTTTTATATTCAACAAATACTGCAACGCAACCTAAGAATCTGATAATTATATGCACCGCAACACTCTAGGTATGAAATTTCATGATATCACCCAAAGCATAGTCCCACAGCGTAACGCAAATACCGACATAAGCCTAGACCGATATTATACCACTCATACTTCAACCTAACACGATTACGAAGTGATACGCTATGCTTCCAGATACAAACAGGCCTTAAACCCCACCGCGGGTGTCGACCGAATATTCACTGCCCCAGGTCCTGGGATGTAGGCATGCTTACCGACACCCGACAAGAGCTGTATTTTTCGACCTGAAGGCGGAGGCATTCGACCCGTTGATCGAGAAGTCTTATGGTAATGTCTCTCACTGAAAGGCGTGCCGAGTAAATACACCACCTTACTGAAAGCTCTCTACTCGAACACTTGTGTGCATTTTAGAGCCCAAGGTGAGTTGTCCAGGGAGCTATGCTCATCTAGTGGTGTCCGTCAAGGACGCCCACTGTTTCCATTCTTATTCAATTTCATCATAGATATTATGGAGGTCTCCCTCTCGTCACCAGGTTACACAGATGTTGACCTAATCACAAGAGAATTTTCGTTGGACCTAGAATACGCAGATGATGTAGTCAATCAATCAATGACATAGTTCTGTTAAGTGAAGACGCTGACAAGATGCAGTCTTCTGAACACTTTGAGAATGTTTGGGATGCGTTTCTAATCACCCATATGCAAATTTTTGCTCCAGGACGGGTGTTCAGCAGTACCACGGCTAACAATAGATAGTGAAGTGGTTGAGCTTGTCGACCACTTTACTTGACTGGGAAGTGGGATCGGTCCTGGTGGCTCAGTTGCCGATGAAATCTCTGCACGGATGCAAAAGGCTCGATTGGCTTTTGCCAATTTATGCAACCTATGGCGCTAACGTGATATCCTTTGTCTATTATGGGTCGCGCGTACTGCACAGCAGTCCGCTCTGTTCTACTGTATGGCTGTGAAACATGGCCATTAAAGGTGGAAGACACTAGGAGGCTGGCTACAGGTGTTTGACCACCGTAGCCTACGTAGTATAGGCCGTATTCCGTGGTGTCACCATGTAAGTAATGCAGAAATCAGGTATAGAGTTTTAGGGAGTAGAGGTAAGTCAGTTGACAAGGTTATGAACCTCCATCGATTCAGATGGTTGGGACACGTACTACGTATACCTAGTCACCGATTGCCTCGCCACAATGTTGGCCGAAGTAGGTCCAGGCTGGAAAAAGGTTCGAGGTGGTTAAAGTAAAACATGGCATTGATGTATGAAGTCCCTGACTGTCTGCCTCATCAAACAATGCTGGACGAAGTAAGTTCAGGCTTCAAAACGACTGGGAGCTGCCAGTATATTAAGTGTTTGGCTGTTGCCTTGAGCCATGTTGGGACATGCAGACTAGCCGGTTGGGGTTTATGGGAGAAGAGAAACCAGTGGGAGACTCTAGGTGACGTCGCTCAGAACCGAAGTCAATGGCGCACGTGTATACACATATAATCATCTTAACGATGCTATACCGTATCTCACCATTTTCTCTTTTACCACTTTATATTTCTTTTGACTGCATTCTTTAATCTTCATCCTTCACCTAACTACCTTTCTACTTGATGCACTGTACTGAGCTGCGGCTCGGACCGTTACGCAGTAATGCCTGGTCCTATGTTGGTATTGATAATGACGTCAAGGGAATAAACGTCCCTGCAAGTGTAGCTCGTTTGGTCATTGTGATATATCATCCTAGCCTCCACGTCAAGGTAACAGTTATCGGTCGAGATAAGCTAGTAAAGATTGGCCCTAACCACAGACCTATTAGAACGGATCCTTACTTAGTTTGATTTTGTTCTTTATAAAAGCACTGGTCCAACGAAACAATGTGGACCGTGTTTGAAGAAAGAAAACCTAGAGACACTACCGTTACAATTAAGATTTGGTATAAAACTCAAGCTCGACGGAGCAAAGCGACAAGCCTTACTACCTATTCCTGTGAGAAAGTTGGAAACTTCAATATGAAAATATTGAAAAACCATAGATAAGAGCTGCTGTAAACTACTAAAAGAAGCATGCCAACGAAATCCATGCTGGGATGATTCAAGAACATGGTCAAAAAACACATATCTTCAAGCTTTGCATTTTGATACAGCGCACTATTTGCATGAACATTATCAAAAAGTGTACAGGCTTATCCAAAATATATTTATTTGCAAGTTCAACTATGCTTTCTTATTCACAGATCCTTTAGATTCACGGAGGGAATGGCTTCGTGAACGCTTGCGCTCGGCACGTTCATCGCGAGCCTGCTTTCTACGCTGAGCAAGTAATTTTGCGTACTCTTCCTGAACTTTCCTGCGGGTTTCTGCTCGTTGGCGTCTCACAGCATGTCGATGACGCTTACGCTGTAACCTCAATGGTGTCGTTAAACGTTGGATTTTCGGAGCTTTTGAACGTTCTTTCTTTCCTTCTTTAGCAGGCACCGGTTTACGAACTACAAACTGACAGACGTTATCTTTCCTTGACAGATTAAACAACTTTCTGATCTTGGAAGCTCTCTTGGGACCAAGACGTCTTGGGACATTAACATCAGTTAACCCAGGAATGTCATTTTCTCCTTTGCGCACAATAACCAGGTTAATTACGCTTAAATTGCTGTCAACTATACAACCACGAACGCTTTTACGTCGTCGTTCGCCCTTACGTCTAGGGCGGTAACATGAACTTCCTTTGCTTAGTAACAACTTTACACGACCATTTGTCAAAACACCTTGTTTCATAGGAAAACCTTGCTTATCATTTCCGCCAGTTATGCGAACGATATATCCCTTCCACTCCTCTCCGAGAAAATCGATAGGCAGCTCATGGGACATCCGCTTTTCATAAAATGGTCGAAGTCTGATTTCTTCATCTATGTCCACACACTTTTGTGTTCCATTGGCTGGAAACGCTATGTTGAGCTGAAATGTAAAAATCAAAAACAGCATTAAGTCACTGTTCGAAAATTGAAGAGCGTATACGATCCTGTATCGCGCTTTGCGAAACATAGAAATATATGAGAAGCCTAACAAAAACGAATGACGAGATTGCTGACGATTACGTTAGACCTACAAAATAATACAGGTATACACTGCTGAAAACAACTGCTACTTGCTGCAAATGAAGAACAGAAAGTGGTACACGAGTTACGCAAAGGATTATGATATCACTAGGCAGATGTGGGATTCCTGATCACTAGTTGAAAATAGTGCTTAAACTATAGAGCCGTATCAATCTTTCTATACACCGTACAACAGTGCTTACATTTAACGGTTTCAACTTGGTTTTTAAAAATGAAGTTCTACTTTTTCTATCGTTAGTGACATGTACACCAGAGAACTCAGTCAATGGTCTTGCGGCGTTCAACTGCTGGTTATCTATAGATAACATACCATGTACAGTGCTAGTATTCAGATATGCAACAAAGGGATACATCACGGAGATAGAGATACAAGGAACAAAGTAACTATATGATGGAAAATCATTGAAACAAGGTATTCGGCATTACGATTAAGATGGTTGTATAGATCTGTATGTCACAGCCATACCACGAAATTTTCAGCCGTTAATCCCGGTTGCCATGCAAACGATTGCATTTTAGACAATGAAAACTGGATACGTTACATTGTTCCTTTGGTCATCGAATAATGATCCCCTTATGAGCACTTCTGTACTACACGAAACCCTTTTATCACTGGTTTACACGCTCCAACCCGCCCACCTAAATAGATTTGAGATTTCAGGTAGTATCACTAGCCGTCAAAACAGGTGTGCCTCAGCCTACTGTATCTGAGCCAGTCCAGGGTCCAAGAAGGAGGCTGATATATTAGAATGGCCCCACAAGGTTACTAGATTACTGACGGCTGTCGTACACCGGCCCTAGTAACAGTGAATAAGAAAGCTAACCGCTTTCCCTTATCGTGGTAAAAGTGACCTGATTTTAGCCTATCACACTCTACATAGTGTTATGTATTGATTTTTACAACTACTTGACTCTTTAAGATACGGACCACCTTCAACGACATTAGTTAAGATAAGCAACGGTCAAATCACATTCGAGAGAAGCACCGGTTCTCCTAGTGGTAAACGACAGGAACACGCAACCAAAACAATGTGATAGCAGCTACTTTCGTCATCGCATTCAAGGAAAAACTGTTGCAAGTACAAACACAAGCTATTATCATACTATCCTCTTCACTCAAGACCGCAAGTCAGATTAGTACGATAGAAAAATCGGCGTAAATGATTCAGCGACCAAGAACCAGGCAAAGCAAGTTACGAAGTTCGGCACAAAGATAAGGATGAAGGCGATATGAATACATCTAAGCCAATACGTGAGGTCACAAGCCCGAACCTCACTTCATGTAAACTTTGAACGTGAAATAAGCTTGGCAGCATTCCCTTACTAAACCTCCATAAAATCGTGAGGAAAACTAACCAATCAATAGTGAATATGAAATGTGCATGGGCCGCTTATGAGTCAGTTTTCAGTCTCATCAAACCACTACACACCGAACTTTTCTGGCAAATGCAACGGCTTGTTAGTGTTTCTACCCCTTCAACAAATGTTTCTCCGAACAAAGGCGGATACTTATTTCGGCACGCTACATCTAGTTGTGAATCGGTAACAACTAAACACACCGACCTGGTACACATCCATGCAGTAGACGAGTCTCACATATCGCGTGAGGGCGTGATACTGCCTGGCTAATTAAGCTTCGATAGGTGGAGCAGCGTTAGTACTCATGACCAACCGGCTAAGTCATCTCCTTAAAACCACTGAATCGCAGCATTATATCGGTAAAATTCCCTGTCCACCACTTCCAAAGTGAATTGGAATATTCGCACCAAAACTAATTACAAGGATGAATACAATGCATATGCAAAACCATCACATCCCTGAAGGTTGATTCAGTGAGCCTACTTAATGCTTGGGACAGCGGTATCGTAAATTAAGTTAGCCTGCAATTAATTAGTCTAAATCAATGGCTGACAGTGAAAGACAACGATGGTGCACCCGGTCTTTTGCTGGTGGCTAAGAGCATTTCCACCCAAGTGTCCGACAATAAGGTTAGTTTATGATTTCACCCTTTCAGCAACTAACACACTAAATAGACTAACATCATTTCCACGAGAATGAAATCCTGACTATTGGCAGCTGTAAAGCTGAAACTTTGGTTTATCAGGTTGTGGGAGATGGACTTAAGTATTATGCCAGTTGTGTTCACGCAACTACATTCAATTTGACAATGAAGTTAAAGACTATCATCAGTGAGATGGCATCTGTATCTATCTAAATTAAAACTTTCAGCTAAGGCAAAGTACAGCAGAATGCAGTATTAAACGAAACTAAGGTCATTTTTAAAATAGAGAACAATGTAACCAAGACTTAGAAAAACTACAGTCAGTATTTCGAAACTCTGGATAAAAGCAACTGCTCTGACTACATATCTATACAAAACATCTACCGAGATTCACCTTCATCACGAGGACAAGAAAGAACTACCGCTCGAATGCACAGAGATCCAGACAAACAAAATCGCACGTGTGAAAGCAGACTCAATGTTTCACCCCCACCTATTATTTGATATCCATTATGAGAGTATAAAGACTGGTAGACTCGGTTGTTCTATGCCTTCTTCTCAAACCTTTATTCTTTTTCGCAATTATCCCACCCGTGGTGGACAATGAATTTTTTCCGACTTTGTTCTTTTAGCTCTGGTGAGGTGTTTTCTGGGGGTTCGCATTTTTAATTTGTTAGTAAAGTGAACCAGAAGACTGTGGGCTACGAGTTGTCTCGGTGACTCCTACCTCTGTAAGTGCCAGCGAAAAAGGTATAGGGGATGTTCCCAAGTGACGGTTACGAATGGCAGGACAAATATGGTCGATGGAGTGGGATTATGAGACAGAACAAAGGACTAAGACTAATAGATGATGATTAATGAGTAGAAAGGCAGCAGTTTTGAGATGACACGGGTAAATAGGTTTTAATTTCAGTGGGTGTGGAGATATATCGTAAGTGGGGCCGGGTAAACCAAATTAGCTGCATTTTTCGTCCACACTTCTTTTAAAAGATTCCGCCGAGTAGAACACGACTAAAGTTCGCTGTAGAGCACTCCATAGTGCACAAGCTCTTAGGAAACGAAGTACCACCTTAGCCTGATGTTGACCAAATGATTTGCTGTCTGGATGGAATTCTCTCTAGAAAATGTCGCCTCCGATTTACAGTAGCCAAACGTGGATAGATCCAGATGCCTCCGTCTCTCTGCGTATCTTTCAATCCTGGCTCAGTAACTGCTTAAGTTGCAGTCCTCCATACTTCCCCGAGGAAACCAGAGTTCCTGGTGAGCATGGGAGAGCTATCCCATAAATTGTACCTAATGCGGTCCAAAATATGTTTTGAAGACCGTTAGGACGAGGTGCATTGTGATAGCACCAGGCTATCGTAGAAAGAAACGCATTGAGATATTTCCCCTCACTACCGTTTCTTCATACGTAGACTTAGTGCATAAATAGTTGAGAAGTTAAAGCCTAGGTTCTATTCCTCAAACATTTTCGTGGTGACGTGATTGCTGGGTCTGTATTGATGTCTGTATTCGTAGTTGGCCATTCTCACATCATGATCGATGATTTACACTCGTCAAGGTTTAGGATGAGGTTCTCCTCTGACAACCAAAATTCGATTTTCTGTGGGTCGTTTGTGAGTGCAACCTGAACAAAGGAGGTAGATGTTCAATTTACCAACTCATGAGATTCTTTGAATGAGGATGTCATAATGGGCGCTATTTAGGGAGTCCAGGGAGTAATAATTGATTGATCGTTTTTCTGTTGCACCACTTAGCCACCAAGTTGCTTGTGGCGGCCGCCAAGTTGATGGCCCATGAAGACTGGCTCTTAAGGCTGCTTATATCACGATAAACTTTTCTTTTGAGGACTACCTCCCATCTTCCATGGGAACATATACCCTTACCCGTTTTACTGTGCCTTCTCGACCAATAAGCTGTGCCGGAAGTCAACTGAGTAGTTGCGGAGAGTCGGTGACTGACAGTCGAAATCCATGCATCGGTAGCCCTGTTGCAGTTTTGGGCCATAATAGTTGGCGACAAGGCTATTGAGACACAAATTCTTCGAAGTTGGACAAATTCCTCGAACAATTAACTAAGATCATAAATTTCCTCACGAAATCCCGAATTCCCGGCACTAAATCAGGACACAGTCTAGATACTGAGACAGAACTTCGGTGATTCCCATCTCTCTTCAGTGCTCCATTCAGGTGTCTGAAACGGATTATTTACGAGAATGATGAGTAACGTGTCTTCGTTGGGATCGTTAATCATGAGTGTGGACAATTTAATTTGAAATCCATTACGGACGATGGATTTAAGTCCTTGATACCCATCTGCAGCTTACAGTCATCCAACTTTGGAGTCAACAGAATAGGGCTTTTGAACCACTTGGAACAATATCTGTCGATAACGGTGAATGACATCTCTGCTGACTATCACTGACTGGCCAACCTGCAGCGTGATACGAGGTCGGAGCAATCCGGACACCAGCCTGGTTCGAAACCACATATAGTTCGCCAGACTCTTCAATCCTCCACATCGCGCACTGGTCAAGCAACCCCAAAGCCCATCTCATCTGTTCATCGTCATAAATAAATAAATATTTTATTCTCACATTAGTAAGCTAACATGAGAGAAGACAGTTTACAGGCATCATCACATTGATATACGTTGAGAAATCCACAAGATTTTACGATTCCTGAATGATACAGAGGGTGTGTCGTTAGACTTTATTAAAAACATCAGGAGATCCTGCTAGTTATGAAAAGAACAAGAAAATATCACCTTCGAGCGCATACAGAGTGGTGAAGCGTAGATAATAGTAATTCTTATTCTCATATAGTGGATTTAACATGAGGGATACCAGTTTACAAGCGTCTTCAAACTGACAGTTCTTGAAAGTTTACAAGATATTATTCAGCGTTAAATAATTCACGTATCAAGTCATTGATGTGCATAATCTTATTAAAAGTTGCCGCAATTCATGAGGCGGTCGTGGATTTTCATCTCCCATCACACAGATAGGTTCCACTACCAGGAATAATGTTCGGAGTTCGCGTTGTAACCAACCGACGTTGTTAGTCCATTTGCGTATTTTGTTATTTGGTAACATAAACGTCCATTAATCAGAAAGTTCTTTAGTTTTTAACACCGGCAACCGTAAATGACCCATGTATACGATTTGGAGTATTGGCAGTGTCCACAGTCATATAACCAAGGCGAATGTCTAAATCAATGTATTTCCAGGTCACCATGTTATGTTTAAAGGTAACATGAGTTAATTCCAACGGGACAAAGCGCTACGTTTGAAACTGTGTTACATTTTAACGTGATTTCGTAACTGTATCATAACTTTGTTATTAACGCCATCATAAAGCTATTGAATTCTCAAATGACTAATCACGTATCAGACATGCAACTAGATATGGTTAATGCATGTAAAAAGACACGGACACAACTGTCTGTGGAACAGTGCATCAACAATATCCAAATGTTGGTGACGCCAAAAGCAGATTCCTCTTGCAACAGCATAAGTGAGTCAGCTTATACTTCAGTTATGCTCAAGGGAAGAAGAACTGCGTTCGATAAGACAGCCAACGTTAATAATAATAGAAATGCCTCTGCATGCCCAACATGTAATAAGATCGCAACACCAAATGTTGCAGAAGACGTAAGGCTTAGTGTAAGCTCCATATCTTTTGTTAGACTAACTAGACTTCAACCACCAAGTGTGTCATTGTCACTTCTTCCAGAAATCGAAAGCCTGAAGTCCTCCATAGAGGAACTAAAGGCAGAAATAAGCAGACTGAAAAATGACAAACAGAATAATGCACCACAAGAAAGTATGTTAAGGGCATTCGAGGTGTCACCCCAGCTGGATGAAATTAGAGTTCAAATTAGCAACCACTTGCCACTGAGCACCTTGATGCGTAGTGAGTCCATCATTAAAGTTGACATCGAAACACTATCCTAGATAGATCACCCGGTAAACTTTATCATCACTGAAGTAAGTAAGAGACTCGCACGTAAATTGAACGCAATAGTTTATAACGTCCCTGACACAACAAAGCTGAAGGCGGTGCGAGGAATTTTGCTTGGAACAGCAAAAATGCATGATGTCCAGGCAAAATGTTTTCGACCAGAGAAAAGCCGGCAGGACCACTGCGGTCCGATACGCTTTCAATTTAGATCGCAGATATAAGCGGAAGCATTCATCAAAGCAGAATCTATCTTGGCAAAAAACACTGTCTTCACAGGAATAAAGATAGTTCCTGATAAGACAGTGGTGGAGAGGCAGGTATACAACTGTGCTCATAGACCTGACGGTCAAAAGGCTCCAAAGCTGCGACATACTAAAGCAGTAGGTATCTCCACTAATATACCCAAGCCTAGGATTTCTCCTTCCACAAACTCTATCAAGTCAAATATATGGAAGAACACACCGACCAGCGTGGAGATGGAAGACTGTGAAATGCATGATTTGACTCAACCACCTGAAACTGTAGACCTAGACTTATCCACAGAAAGCCTCAAAGTGAAGCCTGACACAGCACTGAACGTGATAGAACTCTCGCTGAGGTCTACTGGAGGCCCAAGGTCTACTAACCACACCAGCCTAGGTCCTAGGATATTAGCCACTCGTTATGCAGCATATAAACCGATACTCCAATGGAACATAACACCTACAGACGGACGCAGAAAGCATATAATGATCCAAAGTGATCACGTAATCCTTTCTGGAGTTGACAGAAGTATGAACACCAGCTCTACCAATTAGGTTCTATGCACTGAGCTAAGTCTCTCTAGTAACGAGAACAAAAATAAGCGTCTCCATAGCCCAACCCTATCGTTTACTAATGATAAAAGCCAACATCAAACCACCTATAATAGAATGTCAGCGGAGTACTTTGTGAGGAAGAACTCCGGTCGGCTGCATGGCACTAGTTTACTAGGAGACAGCCCCCGATCCAACATAACGCCAGTTACGTCCGTTGTGAATTGTAACACAAGGCAGTCACTTGTAAGGAATACAACGCAGAACAGAAGTTTACATGGACCACAAAACACGACGATTTTTTATCCAATGCATCCCTATCAGCTGCAGCTTTGGCCAAACAACTGATGGGGATGTTGAAACCCCTTACTCTGAACGGCTAATCTTAGCGCCCTCGGAGCAACAGAAAAGACACAGTCAAACACACACAAATCCTAGACACCAACCACCCAAGTGGTGTCAACAGATGCGAAAGCACAACAGGTCTGTTGAATCCTCCAAGTGGTATCACCAGCCCTACACACCCACCACGTACAATAGTAAAACTACCTACCCTCTGTGTAACAGATACTAGAGACGACGCTTGCATGAAGTCAAACTCTGTTTATTTGGATACAATGCTCACACTGAACACAAATAAAAAC